CCTTGGGCCCCTGCAACCACGTGGGAGAGCAGGAAAAAGCTGGCTTTGGATTGGCTGCGCTCCAGAATTGGAGCCATATGGAGAGTGAACCAGCGGATAGAAGACTCCTTTCTCTCTCTCTGCTTTTCAAATCAATCAATCAATCAATCTTTGGAGAAAAAAAAAAGCAGCTGAGCATGGGCACCTATCAATGTATACTGCAGCTCCCTCCACCCTAGCACGGTCAGATAGGAAAACTAGGCGGTCTAGTCCTTCATCCTCAAAGCAGGGAGCTGCAAAACCATCAAATGAAGGGCAGGGAGCCAGTGTTGCGGCACAGTGAATTAAACCACTTTTGACTGGCATCCCATATTGGAGTGCTGGTTCAAGTCCCAGCTGCTCTACTTCCAATCCAGCTTCCCACTAATGCACCTGGGAAAGCAGTAGAAGATGGCCTAAGTGCTTGGGTCCATGCCACCCACCCGTATGGAAGACCTGGATGGAGTTCCTGATTCCTGGGTTCAGCCAGGCCCAGCACCAGCTGTTGTGACCATTTGGAGAATAAACCAGCAAATGGAAGAGCTCCCTGTCTCTCCCTCTCTCACTTGCTCTGCATTTCAAATACATAAATGAATAAATAAAACTATTTTTTTAATGACGGCAGGAACAGTCAGATTTTAGCATTTCTCTCCTGGCCTCACTTTTTGTGATCTTTCTGTAAAGCCTCCAGAAGAAGAGCTGTGAAGGAGCCCCGGGGGTGGACTGCTGCCCACCATTGCCTCAGGTACAATTCCTGGGGAGGGCTATCAAAACAACAGGCCCACCGTGAGGAGCTGATCCTGCAGACACATTCACGTGGTTGTGTGCTCTCTGCAATGGCAGAGGATGGTCAGCAATCCAACAGCCATCAATAGGGTGTTGGCTCAATTAAGGCATATAGGATAACATAGTTCAGAGTTATAAAAGAACCAGTAAATTCTTCATCCTGTCACAATTTCCAAGGAATTCTGTTGCAAGAAAAAGGTACACAGCATTGTAATGTTTTTTTCTTTTTTTTTTTCTTTTTTTGACAGGCAGAGTGGACAGTGAGAGAGAGAGACAGAGAGAAAGGTCTTCCTTTTCCGTTGGTTCACCCTCTGCCACAGCAGAGAGCTGGCCTGGAAGAGGGGCAACCGGGACAGAATCCGGCGCCCCGACCGGGACTAGAACCCGGTGTGCCGGCGCCGCAAGGCAGAGGATTAGCCTAGTGAGCTGCGGCGCCGGCCAGCATTGTAATGTTTTTAAGAGGGGGTTAGGTGCCTATGGTAGTTTGCTGATAAGTCCACGAACTGTCCCTGGCAGCACCCACTGGGCTCCAGGAGAAACGGGGTGGCAGGTTGAGAGGAGAGGGAAGTCTCACTGTATACCCTCCTTCCTATCTTTGATATCTGAACCAGGGAAAAACAATACCCGGTCAAAAGATACTTTCTTCTCCTATACGTTTAAAAATCTAATCCTATAAAATAAAGATAATAATCAATATTCCATGACTTGTCTTGACCAAAGAAAATGTTGGCAGACCCACATGTAGCCCCTCATTGTGACTTCTGAAGTCCATATCTGTAGACTTGGGTCCCACAGACTAACCAAGACATAATGGGGGCCGGCACCGCAGCTCAATAGGCTAATCCTCCGCCTAGCAGCGCCGGCACACCGGGTTCTAGTCCCGGTCGGGGTGCCGGATTCTGTCCCGGTTGCCCCTCTTCCAGGCCAGCTCTCTGCTGTGGCCCGGGAAGGCAGTGGAGGATGGCCCAAGTGCTTGGGCCCTGCACCCCATGGGAGACCAGGAGAAGCACCTGGCTCCTGCCTTCAGATCAGCGCGGTGTGCCGGCAGCGCGCCGGCTGCGGCAGCCATTGGAGGGTGAACCAACGGCAAAGGAAGACCTTTCTCTGTCTCTCTCTCTCTCACTGTCTACTCTGTCAAAAAAAATAAAAATAAAAAAAAATAAAATGTAAGGTTTTCAGAGGAAGCAGAAAATGCAGTAGGCACGACCAAGTGAAAGGTCTTGCCTTGGCAAAAGCAAGGGAAGTTACACAGCAGCAGCCTGGTGCTCATCTCACTAGGGAGTGGGTGGCATTTGTGCTGGGGGAATATCTCAATGGAAGTTCTCACCAGCACTGCTAACAACCAGCTTTTCGCCCACGTGAGTGTGTGCAGGTCTGCTGTGTGTTCACAAAATAGCTGTGTGACAAAATGCTACTGTCAGCTTTCAAAGAAAACATCCCTTACCCCCATTCCTAATTTTAAGACACCTGTGAAAAATCTTAGGTCATAAGTTATTTGAGGGACTACATGGCTTTACACACAAATTTTCATAAAATTAATGTATTAATCAGCCAATTCTTATAATTACTGGGTTGGAAACTCTAAGAGGCATAAAAAAACACCTACTACTAAAGGACCCTCCTAGTCTAGTTTTGTGCTGAACTATTCCTTTAACACATTTCTAAAATGTATCTACTAAAGGAATAAATCCTTTCATATAAGTCAAAGAAAAACTGAACCTGCCAGATGAAAAATTTATTAAGAATATGAAAAATTTCGGGGCCGGCGCTGGATTGGAGCAGCTCCGGCCACTGACGCCATTTAGGGAGTGAACCAGCGGAAGGAAGACCTTTCCCTCTGTCTCTCCCTCTCACTGTCTGTAACTCTACCTCTCAAATAAATAAAATTTTATTTTATTTTTTTGACAGGCAGAGTGGACAGTGAGAGAGAGAGAGAGACAGAGAGAAAGAAAGGTCTTCCTTTGCTGTTTGTTCACCCTCCAATGGCCGCCGCGGCCAGCGCGCTGAGGCCGGCGCACCGCGCTGATCCGACGGCAGGAGCCAGGTGCTTCTCCTGGTCTCCCACGGGGTGCAGGGCCCAAGCACTTGGGCCATCCTCCACTGCACTCCCTGGCCACAGCAGAGAGCTGGCCTGGAAGAGGGGCAACCGGGACAGAATCCGGCGCCCCGACCGGGACTAGAACCCAGTGTGCCGGCGCCGCAAGGTGGAGGATTAGCCTAGTGAGCCGCGGCGCCGGCCAAATATATACAAATAAAATATTTTTTTAAAAAAATATGAAAAATTTAAACCAGATTAGTATTAAAAAAAACCCTACACTTAGAACTCTAAAAAGAAATGAGACAACAAAAGCATGAAAGCATCAGTTAAAAATAAGAAAACAAATAGTCTTTCCTCTCTCAACACATGAGCTCACCCCCTGCTTTCTGGGCCAACTCAGGAGTTCCGTGGGCACAGATCTTCCGGCTGAGGTCACCGGATGTGCCCCCCACAACAGCCGACTCGAGCACAAAGGAAGCCCTTCTTGCATGGAGGATCCGATACGCCACACACGCTTCCTATGCCCCGCTGTCGCCCAGGATAAAGAATACCTCGCTGGCCTCCGTGTGCCAAGCCAGGAAGTTTCTGAGCACTCACTTGGTTGCAAAACCAATGACACTTACAGAAACCAGACGCGACTTTACAGGACAAACACATCTGGGAGCTAAGATGTAACAATCACTACCAGAGGCCAGGATCTATCTATGAAGAGCAGGAAGCATACAGTGACAGTTAGCTCTCAGGGGCCAGCCACTACGCTTAAAGCCTTACACACATCTTTCCACTTCAGCCTACAACCCTATCAAGTAGGTACTGTTATGAACCCAGTTGTACAGATGAAAGTGAGGCACAGAGGATCAGGCAATCTGCTTAAAGTCACAAAAGGTAGAGGTTGCTGGTGGGGCTCGGACTCGAACACCGGCTGTGTGCCACCAGAGCCTGGATCTTGTTCAGTCCACACTCTGTCCCTGCAGAGAAGGGGCCTCCTTCCTCAGGAGGACGCTGTTGGAGGAGCCCATGGCCCCGAGGCTTCCCTTCCCAGAATCCTACCAGCTGCCGGCAGAGTCCACTGCAAGTGAAAGTGGAAGGAGCAAAACCAGACGGGAAGGCACAGAGAGCTCTATCGATCAGCTGCAGGACTACGTACTTGGACTACACTCAGGACAGCAAAAGGCTAGGGAGCGATAAGATTGTGTCATCATTCAAAGAATTTCAATTAAAAACTCGTCTTCCTGCTTCTGGCCCAAAGAGCATCGGAAGGCATTTTACACACTGTTGGTGGGAATGTACATTTTTGTCTAAAAAGTATTCATATATTATTTTCACCTATTTGAAAGGCAGAGTGACACAGAGAGCAGGAAATAATCCATCCACTGGTTCACTTTCCAAATACCCACAACAGATGGGATCTCCCGTGTGGGTGACAGGAACTCAAGTACTTGAGCCACTATATGCTGCCCCCCAGATGCACTAGCAAGCTGGATGGGAACTGTAGTAGCCAGTACTCACACTGGGACACTGTCAGGGTCCCAAGCCACAGTTTAACCTGCTGTGCCACAGTGCCCAACCACGGATGTAAATTTTGATGCAATCTTTTCAAAGTGCAATTTGGCCATGTCTGCCAGCATCTCAAGTGCACGTCACAGAGATGAAACATTCCAGGACCTTCGCGAGTCACAGTCTCCGTGTGGCACTGCCTGCAAAGCTGAAACAGTGAGAGCGGGCCAAGTGCCCACCCCTGAGGAGACAAACAGCCTACGGGCTGTGAGCACAGGCTGGGATGGCAGGGGCGGAAGCTTGGCTCATGCTGACATGCTGACATGGAGCACCCTCCAAGGCACACTGCTGCGTAACACACTGGGCACAGAGCAGCACGCACACGGCGACCCCATGCTAGTGACACGTGTTCCTTACAAAAGTACCTGCATGTGCATCACACTGTTCTACGTGGATATCAAGAAACCACTCATAGCGTGTCCAGCAGAGCTGAGGAAATGGTCACTTTTCTTTTTATATCCTTTTGAAGGGCTTGAACTTTTTACCATGCTCATACACTACCACAACACAGCAGAGAGAAAACAGGGTTTTGCTTCTCCAAATGCCTTCCAGAACATAAAATCTACGTTCTTTTTTTATTAATCTGACATCTTGCTGTTACCTTGTTTCCTTCGTACACCCATCCTAGGCTCTTCACGCCAAAGGCAACCTGGTTGGCAGAGACATCCAGACAGGTGACGGGCTGGCCGTAGACGTAGTGGAGGGTTCTGGCGGAGTCTTCCGCTTTCAGCAGGTACACCAGATCTCCAGCAGCAGCTATTGCCACAGGGAACCTTCCAGTATCTGGAACTATTTCCAGGTAGTCAACCTATTAGAGCATAAAAGCTGTTCAGTCCTACAAACTCACCCCAACTTGGTCAAAAGTACACAATTCCTCCTCCCCTCAACAAGACGACCAGCAAACCAACAAAGAAGCACAGGAGGACTGTTCATAGGAAAAGCAACACCAGCACCTCTTAGTTCTGAGAAGGTGCTCACCATCAGAGAAACACAGTGTGCTCCTAAAATGAGAAACACAGAGTGAAACTGACTGAGATACAGGCAAAGACCAAAAAGTCTGATAATGCACTGGACTGGAAGTGACGGGGGGACAGTCACATTCCTGGGAACCACCTACTGTTGGTGGGACTATATCCAATCCATCCCCTACCAAAAAAAAATCTAGCAACATAAATCAAAGCCTCAAATGTACATACATCCTGTCCCAGCAAGTCCACTTCCAGGAATTTACTTAGAAATAAACTCACACATATGCAAAATGACTGTGATGAAATTTTTTGCTTAAGTACTATTTTGTCACATCTAAAAACTGGGAAAACCCAGACATGCATAATTAAGGGACTAATTCAATAGATTACAGAATATCTTCACGCTGGAAAACCAGGCAGGCATAGAAGAAACATAGTGCCCTTTACAGCGTCTAAGGTAAGCTGGGAGGAGCGGGCTGAAAGGAGCAAGGTGGGTACCTGGCGGCTGGAGCACTAACACACAGGAAAGCGGGGGGCAGAGGAGGCAGGTGTAAAACGCACTGGACTGTACAGGCATCAGCCTGCCTTCAAGGAGGGAAATGGGTTTTATGATGGGTGGATGAAGCTTTCTCACTGTCAGCCTCACCATGTCTTTAAAGTTCTGAACCATGGGAGTGGTTATTTTTTTATTCACAAAATAAAAATGTTTTTAAATGGAAACAAAATAAAAATTGTTTCACATTAGCAAAAACCCTATTTGATTAACATATGTGCAGACACCAAAAATGTGCGGTCCAAAGGTTAGAACTATCTGAGTTCTCTGCTCGCTCCTGGTTTCAGGTCATGCAGTGATTCCACAGAGGGTCCTCTGGCCAGTCGAGGGCAGGAGGGTCAGTGCACGCCAGCATTCTATACCTCTGTGGTTCTCCTGACTCACGATCGCTAGCTCTTTCTCCAATGTGCACGGCTATGAGGAGCACCTGTCCAAAAATAATTTGCTTTTCTCTATCCTCAAGCGGCATATTTCTCCCCAGCGCAGTTTGTAGCAGGTTTTCACCTCCTTGAGTAAATGATGAGTATGAATGCCGAAGGTGACCCACACTGTGTGATTATGAAAATCTGCAGTGAAAAAGCATGGCACTTCCCAGACAGCATGCCAAACAAGTTCAACTCCTGAAGACTGTCCAGGGGAGCTTGAGAGAGAGTAAACATCCGGGTGACTCTACTAATCCTGGGGCCCAACAGTGCCAGTGGCAGCCCAACGTCGCCAACCATGGGTCCATCACAAAGGACGGGCATGCCCGGCTAACACCACAGCCCCGGGAACACTGCCACTGCTGTTCAGGGACTGTATCTGGGGAAGACAAAAATGACTGTGCGGGCCAGGGGGTGCCTTTTCCAGGGATACTGGGCACACTCTGGGACAAGCCCTCAGCCAGGGTGAGAAATAACACACAGAAAGTGCTAGGAAACATGCCTCCAGCATTGGCCACTTGTTCCTAGAACCACTCCTTATTTTCCTAAACACACATCTTCAGTTGAGCCATTTGACTTCGTCTTAGTACTGGATTTTTGACAGACCAAGAGGCTCAGGTTGAGAGTGGCTGTGCTTTGCTGGGAGCTGTAAATGACTTCCAACAGCTTCTGGTGTGTGCCAGGATGTCCCCTACTGCCAAGGCTGGACTGACACTGTGACAGAGGGACTTGCATTTTAAGTAACTGAGTCCACATAATTACTGTTGCTCTACAGTGATCTTTAGTCAGAGACCAAAAACAAGCATCATGGTAGTTTCATGAACAAAGGAAAATAGTCTATGCTCACTTTTTTTTTTTTATTTGACAGGTAGAGTTATAGACAGTGAGAGAGAGACAGAGAGAAAGGTCTTCCTTTCACCCCTCAAATGGGTACTACGGCCGGCACTGCGCCGATCCAAATCCAGGAGCCAGGTGCTTTTCCTGGTCTCCCATGCGAGTGCAGGGCCCAAGCACCTGGGCCATCCTCCTCTGCCCTCCCGGGCCACAGCAGAGAGCTGGACTGGAAGAGGAGTAGCTGGGACTAGAAGCCAGCGCCCATATGGGATGCCAGCACCACAGGTGGAGGATTAACCAAGTGAGCCACGGCGCTGGCCCCTACGCTCACGTTTTCTAATAAAACTCTCAGAGGGCAGCCTCAGGCAGTCTGGGGACAGTACAGGTACACTGCGAGACCAGCTCCTCACAGGGAGGAGCTCCCAGAGGTGGGCAGCACTGTGGCTTTCTACAAAGTTATCCGAGTCTAACGTGACTTCCACCAGAGAGCATGGGAGAGGAGTAAGGATCAGTTCCAGGTCAGGTCATCAGTTCATTATTCAAAGTTGGTGTCTCTGTTCATTCTCCAACAAGTGCCAAAATTAAGTCTGTTTAAATTAAATCCAAATTCAGCAAAGACGGAGTTGAGCACTTCCTCCTCACCACCAAATCCTCTCCCATCTTTCAAAGACTGAAGTTCATGGAGAACCTCACTCCAAATAATCTCCACAAAAGAAATTGCTAAGACTGGGTTATCTTCACACGTGCTGTTCTGGAACACAGCTACTCAACGAACAATGCTCACTCGAGAGTCACTACTCTTAATTCCGGTGAGACGTGCTTGGGATGAAGAAAGCAGGATGGGAGCCCTTCCTCCCACAAGGACTGTGATGACACCACTGACCCCTTTTAAACTTCTGTATTGGGCCAGGAACCAGTCTCAGATCTCCAAGGGCGCCAGTCCACCATGCTGGTCTGAGTGGGTCCAAGCACCACCATGGTGAGAAACCGTGGCCTGGGGGTTAGTTCTGAGGTCTGACTCACAGCTTTCTCATTCTGAGACCTGGGGCACGTCAGCTCACCGCTCGTAGCCTCTGCTGGCTTCATGGTGAATGAGGGAAACACCACTACCTGCTTAACACAGTTGTGGGATTTGTGGAGGCAAGGCCCACACAAAGCCCAAGTGAATGGGAGCTGGCAACATCACTGCTGTTTATTTTAGACCCAGAGACTCTAAGAATGGAAGATAAAATGGCCAGACTGAAAACTCACCAATTTCTGAACTTCAAACTCTGTAGCCATCTGCCAGTAGCCCTCCTCGTTGGGGTACAGCATTATAACACCAAATGCAGAGGCTGTGGCGACAGTGGCACCTTTTCGGCTGAGGGCTAATGCTTGGATTCTTGCATCGTGCTCGAAACGGTGGATAGGATACCTTCCAGTCCTTAGATCCCAAATATTAAGAAACCCTATGTAAAGAAAAGCAATGTGGGTAACAATGTTAAATGAGCTTAACACATGTTATTAGTAACAATCATGTAATATAAGAAAATGTAAAAACAATAAACTGGCAAAAAAATTTGCATCACATATTACAGAGGGTGTATTTCCTTAACACATAAAGGGCTCTAAGATGCAGTAAGAGAGGCCAGCACTGAGCTTAGGAGATTAAAGCCATGGTCTGCAACACTGGTATCCCATATGGGTGTCGTTTCAAGTCTCCGCTGTTCCACTTCCAATCCAGCTCCCTGCTAATGGGCCTGGGAAAGCAGTGGAGGATGGCCCAAGTCCCTGGGCCCCTGCACCCACAAGGGAGACCCAGAGGAAGTTCCAGCCCCTGTGGCCATTTGGGGAGTAAACCAGCAGATGAAAGATCTGTCTCTCCTCTCTGTAACTCTGCCTCTCCAATAAATAAATAAATAAATAAATAAATCCTTTAAAAAATAAAAATTTAAAAAAGATGCAATGAAAAAATCAAGAAGTGAGCAAAAAACATGAGAATGCTGTTCACAAAAAAAGAAAAACAGACATTTAAACATAAGGAGAAACGTAAAGACCCACCCTCGATTAGAAAAACACAAATGTCACCTGCATGATGATATTATTTACATCAGTCCAATTGACAAACATGAAAAGTATCACAAAACATTCTGCTGCTGAGGCTACGAAGAACAGGCTTCCTCTGAAATTGCAGGAGGCACATAAAGTAATTCACTCACTCTGAGGCAATCTGACCACATCTGCCGAATTACAAATGCATACACTCTGCAACTCAACCACGTTTATACATGAACACAAAGAAGCATGGATAAGGAGTCATGTTGTATTTTTCATGACGAAAGTCTGCAAGCTACCAAAATGTCTACAACAGACAACTGTGTAGACAGCAACCCCTCCACAGTCTGGAATTTGGAATAAATGAGCCCTTTACAAAGAGGCAGCCAGCCTTACATGTAACCTATAGAACAGAGGAATAGTTTGAAATAGCATGTCTTTTTTTGTTTGCTTTTTAAATATTTACTTATTTGAAAGGCAGAGTTACAGATAGAGAAGGAAAGACAGACAGACATAAACCTTCTATCCTCTGGTTCACTCCGCAAGTGGCTCCAACAGTCAGGGCTGGACCAGCCTAAGCTAGGAGCCTCATCTGGGAGCAGCCTGGTGCCCCACTATGGGATGCTGGTGTTACAGGTGGCAGCTTAACCTGATATATCACAATGCCAACCCCAATTCAGACACACAAACAAGTGCATGTAAGCACATACACAGCGATATATCCTAGGAGGATACACAAACCAGTGATAATGATTAGCTCTAAGCAAAGAAAGGGAAAGGGACAAGAGTAGTAGGCAAATTGGCTGTACATCTCCTGGTATACTTTGAAATGTTTTCCAAAGATTATCATAAATTTTAAAAATTGTATGGAATTTAAAAAGAATTGGAGTATACACAGTAACTGCCAAATGATTTCAACATAGTTCTTCATTCACTCTTCCATTTATACATTCATTCATGCAGCAAATGATGACTGAATACTTATTATATGCCACACATGTTCCAGACACTAGCCACCACTTGAAAATGGCCATCATTCTACACACTCAGGGCTCTTAAAAGTATTTTACACCCTTCCTCACTACCACCCTCCTCTGGCTGCCAGAGCTCTATTTTACACAGCTCTAAAACATGAACTTGACTATCTCACGCTTGTTGAAAATGCTGATTTGGGAACAGGCACTGCGGCACAGTGGGTAAGGTGCCACTTGTGTTGCTGTCACTGCACATCAGTCTTGTTCAAGTCCCAGCGGCTCTGCTTTGGATCCAGCTTCCTGTTACACATGCTCCTCGGGAGGCAGCAGCAGATGGCCCAAATACCTGTGTTCCTGCTACCTACGTGGAGAACCAGAGGAAGTTCCTGGTTCCTGGCTTGGGTCCAGATCTACTGTTGTGGCCATTTGGGGAGTGAACCAGCAGGTGCAAGATCGATCTGTCTCTCCCTTTCAAATAAATGAATACATAAATAAAGTTCTCTAAATGCTGATTTTACTACACATCCTTCTCTCCAGCACCCTGAAGGGCTGCTTAGTCCTCATACACATACTGGCCATTTCACCACAGCAGTGGCCTTCCAGGACCAGTAGCAGGACTTCTTAGAAATCCAAGTTCTCAGCACCAGAAGCTTTGGGGATGTTTGCCCAAGCCTGAGAATCAGTGGACTACAGAAATGCACTCTTCTCTCAGAAGTTCAAGCTTGCCTGTATTTGCAATGCCAATGATTGTTTCTTTTTCACCGAATAGCACACTGTTTCGATTACAGTTGGTTTTATTTTTCAAAACTCATTGGTAAATAATTATTCAGAGATGATACAGTCTGTGATTTGTTAAAGTTCAAATCCAGCTCCACCACTTGTTCGCCAAAGGACTTGGGGAAGAACTTAACAGCTATGAGCCTGTTTCCTCTTCTGTAAACTTAAGCCAACTTTACCTACCGCACAAAATGCTGGGTGGGTGAACGGAGACAACCACATAAAATGCTAAAGATCGGCCCTTCCTTCTTTATTTATTTTCTTTTAAAGATTTATCCATTGATTTGAAAGGCAGAGTCACAGAGAGGCAGAGGCGGAGAGAGAGAGGTCCTCCAACCATTGGTTCACTTCCACAAATGGCTGCAACAGCCAGAGCTGTGCTGATCCGAAGCCAGGAGCCTGAAGCTTCTTCCAGGTCTCCCACACAGGTACAGGGGCCCAAGGACCCAGGCCATCTTCCACTGCCTTCCCAGGCCACAGCAAAGAGCCAGATCAGAAGTGGAAAGCCGGAATTTGAAGCAGTGGCCATATGGGATGCAGCACTACACCACAGCACCGGCCCCTCTTCCCTTTTAGTTTTACATACTCTTTAGTGCATGCTGTGTCATACATCATATTTAATCTATTAATATAGTTTCCTCGTTGTTCATCTATAAATTCAATCCTAGTTTATTTCCTGAAACAGATAAAGCTTTTCTTTTTTCCTCTCTTTGTAATCCATATTCTTGTCTTTTTTTCTTGTATTTTGTCTTTAAACTTAGGATCTTACAGTAAGGCATCATTCAACACTGAATAAACTTGGAAAGTTAGAATACATTTTGTGCTAGACTTTCAAAGTGTCGGGGACTCAGCAGGTGACCGCAGGCTAAGCAGTTTGCCACGTGTGGAACGCCGCTTCACTGCAGAGCAGGGCCGTCCCCTCAGAGAGGCTCCACGACACGTTCCCCTGGCAGAGCTCGGAGAATTCTTTCCACTCTGAGTCAGAGGGAAAAGATGGGCTGCGGAAGATGCCGAGGGCGCTCCACACTGAACAGGACACAGCACCTCCCAAAGACTCCACGTTTCACGGACCTGCATTTGTTTGAGACATCACAGCAAACAGAGCCATGGAGTGCTCCCTGCCAGCTCAGAGGGGCAGCATCGTACTCCTCTTGCCGAGAAGAAACACAAGCCTGGAGTGGTGAAGCAACTGACCCGGAGCCTCTTGGGATGTGACGAGGCTGAGCTGCGATCTGGATAGAGGAGGGCAGGCTGGGGAGCTGCATCCGCAAGTGCATGAAGTAACTGCACTAGCAAGTAACTGTCGCGTGCCATCCAACTTGCCCTGCGTCTGCCAAGCGTGCAAGCTATTTAACCACAGCTCACTCTAGCACACATGGAGTTTATCTACAAACACATTGTTCATTATTAATCAAGGATTGGTTGTGTTGGCATCATTTTCGAACAGAACTGCATGCAATAAAATACCCTTTACCACAAAGTGGAGTTTCACAGAGCTCTCCTGAGAAAGGTCTTGGTGGAAAAAAAATCTAGGACTCTCTAGGTTTCATGGCAAATGCCTCTCTCCGGAACGGCGGCCATGTCCTCATCCTTCCCAGTGTCCTCTGTACCGACAGCGAAGTGGGCGACCAGGCCAGGCCTCACCTGTCAGTAGTGCTGGTTTCATCTGCATGGTCCGTCAACTTCACTTCTTCCTTCGGGTACTAACGAAACCCGACCATGCTTAGCATCCGAGATGAGACAGGATCAGGCAAGGTCGGGTGATATGGCCATAGACCCTTCAACTTTACTTCCAGTGCACATTTAGGACTGTCATGTCCTCTTGAAGAATGGACCCTTTAGTCCTGGGGATAAGTCTGAAATCCACTTGATCTGATACTGACAGTCACTCCAGCTGTCATTAGCATTTGGATCTTTTTCTATCCTTTTATTGTGCCTTGTGTCTTAGTTCATGAAGAAACATTGGAATTAAAAGACAAGTTCATTTTGAGGCAAAAAATGGAATCTAGGCATAGTTTTTCATAATGTGTATTTCCATAAACACTTTGCAGCCCCCTCATATTTAAAGTAGATTTCTTGTAGACAACATAGAGTTGGTCTGGCTTTCAATATGGGTGTTCCGACTACTGATATTTAGTGTTAAGGGTGGATTTAATCCATCATTTTTCTGTTTTCTAATTGTTCCATCTGTTCTTTGCTCATTTTCCCTCTTTTCCCCACTTTTTTGTGAATGAAGTATTTGGGTTGAATATGTGTTTATTCCATTTTCATTCCATTGGTGATTAATCAGCCAGACATTAGGATTCTAACGTACATCTCTCATCTTACCAGTCTATCTTCTACTGATATTAAACCAGCTCAGTGCAAAACAACTTCACAAGGGCATTCTTCCATTTCTTTACTCACAGCGTTTGAGCTATTATTGCCCTACTTCTTATTTCCATATATGTTATAAACCTAATGGATGCTGTTATTTTTACATAAGGATGCAATTATCTTTTGGAGAAATTTAAGTAAGAAAAAAAACCATTTCTGTTTACACATGTAATCCCTACTTCCAGCATTCTTCTGTGTCACTTCCAACATCAGGACATCTAGTGGCTTCTGCGAAGTCTGGGATTTCACCTCAAGCTGTCTGTGGGATATGTGACCCCCAAAGCTCA